ATATGTGGCGTAACTTAATACAAAATGTAAGGATAAATAAAAATATAAATGTAGATTGGAGAGAATGCAAAATAGATAAGGTTATCAGGAACAATGAATCTTAGGATTCAACAAATAGAATCAATCTAAGGAGTCTGAAAGAGCGATTTTTTATTGTAGAAGAATATAGCACCTTTATTACAATGTAAGCCTCAGAAAAAACTTGTCCTACAGAAATGATAACCAAGCCCTTTTATAGTGGAGGGATTTGGCTCTAAGCATAATAAAATAAACATTCAGTGGGAGACCCATGATAAGTCAGTTTTTCCATAATTTCTGCCAAGATTCTCTCTAGTGGGATTGCAACGACTTTTGTCTGCGAGCTCAATCTTGCTTAGAACCCTCGATTTTGGTTTGAGCTTGATTTCAACTCGAACTTATGATCTTGGTTCGAGCCCGATCCTGGTTCGAGCCCTCGAATTGATTCGAGGTCAATGTTGGTTGGTCTCTAGATTATCAGCATGATAGGTCTACTCTGCATCATGGTTCGATTCTTATTCGAGCTTGATAATGATATCGAACTCGACACAGATCGGCCTCCCCGGGTTCGAGGTTAGTTTGTTCCCCCTTCGGGATCTTACTTCGATAAATCACCGTTCGAACTCGATCGGACGTGCCAAGGCCGAAATCTATTTCGACCGTATACAGATCACAAGATCTACAGATTAATAATCATGCGAAGTTTAATCTACTTCATGGATTCAAAAGATACAGCATCTTCTACATCGAAGAAAACACACAACCAAACCATTGAAAGATTGAGTTATTACAATAGATTGCCAGAGCAAAATATCAGGCTGTAAACATATTGTAATGCCAAGGGCACTAGTTATTTACACTGTTAGAAGAAAAAAGTACTGTCTTGCCAAAACATGACGTGAACATGCAACCATGTTATTTCGACTATTCGTGAGGCATGGCTTCCTGTAAGAACAGCTTATAGCAATGTTTCACCATGTTTAAAGCATACAGAGAGTTGGTAACATCATCTCTTACCATTGACTTAATTTATGCATGTCAGAAGAATCGATATAGCTAACAAAATAAGGGGGGGGAGGGGGATAAGAGATCAAAAACACATCTCAGGCTAGGGATTAAGGCGTAGTTGATTGATTGATATTGAATGTACATACATTGTATATCCGAGAGATGGAGACAGTAAGGTAATAACATAGTTGACAAAATTGAAAACGTGTTTTATAGCCCAAAAAGGAAACAAAGCATATTACTATCCTCAGCTGCATCTTTAACGGCTCTACATCTATTAAACAAATTGAGGGAATGCTCCATACTACTGCTAAACAAGTATTCACAGACTTACGTCGAATATACATACCCCCGATATCCTCAAATGTGTATACGAGACGGGGATTTAATATTTGTTCTTGAGTGCTCATTGCTCACTGATGACAATGTTTTTTCCTGGGCTCATGAGGTGGTGAGTAATTACACCGCTTTATGAAGGAGTCGAGGGTCTTCTGTTTTGAAGGGCTGCTGTAGGACTGATTAGTCGAAACTTCCAAGGACTTCTCGTGGCCATCAAGCATCTGCATATACATTTGTAAATTTATAAGCCAGGGTGCTAGTTTTGTACCTCAAGTATTCAATAGAGAATTAAATAGAAGACCTGTCCGAGATTTTCCAGCTTGCTCTGAACAACATCCCTGTACAAAAGTCATAAGAATAGCCATTACATCAGAACTTCTACCTTAGCATGTTCACTGTCAAATAAATTAGAAAGCTCTATTAGTAATTAAGGGAACGTACCAAATAATGTCATCAACAGTGTCATTTGCCAGCAGATAACACACATTGACAGAGGACACCTAGAAAGGAAGCACATCCGTTAAAGTTCTGACTCCTGAATATATTGATTTCTTATAGAATTAACGCTCTGCAGTCTGCTAACTTAACATGCAGAGACATCCATAATGTAGTCGTTATTTAAACCAAAATTACTGGAATACAGACAGGAAATAGCGAAATACTGCAAACGAATCAGTGTCTTCCAGCTTATACTCCTTTTATATTCCTATTTTTGGTTGCATTAAGTGCTAATGAATCACAGCAGCTTGCTTTAACACCCAACAAACCAACCCAGGTATACTTGCGGATTTGAAAATAATTCAGGAACGAAAAATATCTTCAAAAAGTTATCTAACATTATGTTGCTCACCTGGCCAATTCTGTGAGCTCTATCCTCGGCTTGAATGAGGTCACCTGGTGTCCATGATAATTCTGCAAATATCACTGTGCTTGCTGCTGTTAATGTTAACCCGACACCCCCAGCTTTGATGGATAGCTATAATACAACAGTTATAACAATATCATTTCCCATTTTGCATAATCTCACTTTCTCACTTTATTTATAGATCAACCAGGAAACCAGTCCTATGGTCAAATTACACAGTTTCTTTGACTAATTATAATAGATCATGGCATTACCACTGCAGCCTTAATTGTTTCTTTTTCCTGAAAATCCGTTACCAGTGCTTGTCGTAATGCTGATGGAGTACTGCCATCAATCCTAATACAACCAACCTTCTTCTTCTGCAAAACAAGGGGAGCGTTCAAATAGTCTACAATTCTCGAAAATCAACTAAAACATGCAAATCTTACAAGTAAATAGTTGTGTATCGACTCAATCATTGGTTGATGATGCGCAAATATCAGGAACTTGCAGTCTGCCTGTATGTTTGAAAAAACTACAGTTACTACACCAAGAAGAACAAGAAGAATATCTAAGCTTATATGAAGAAGCAAGAAGTTGGCATATTGGAGAAGACATGCAACTGCTCTATAGACAAAACATAAATCACTGTGTCAGATAAAACGACAGCCACTTTTTGCGTGACAGAGCACTCTTTGGTGTAAATAATGGAACTGATGCAAGGACCTTACGAGCATCACTTAACAACTTGAAACTCGCACTTGACTCGAAAATTAGTTTATATGAGAAGTTGTACATCAGACAAGTTTTAATTGACCTGTGTTGTCATTAGTAAGGTCTCAAACACCTAGACCTCAAGTTGCAACTTGGTTGTTTTGAGTAAACTCACGTCGAGTTAGAACAGTCGAGTTAGAACAGCGCTTCCAATATCCTTATTTATCTGTAGGATGTGTATCTGATACTGTAGTTTCCTTTCTTCTATCTAATGTGTTAGTGTACAGCATGTATATAGTGTAGTATTGTCCCACATTGGTAGAAGAGTAGTATGTCCTTGTATAGTATAGCTATAAATAAGGACCTCTTGTATTTTATTGTTCATCCAATATCAATAACATATTTTCTCCCGTGCCTTCTCACATGGTATCAGAGCAATTGTGAGAGACTTATCGCTGTGCATAAATTCCAGCGATTCCGGGAAAGAGAAATCAGAATTTTTTAAGGCTGTTTTCTATCTGCTTCATTTCTGTCAGTGTTGTGCAAAATCCAACACTACCACAAAAGTCGTCACTGTCCGGCGACCAAACCCCAGTGAAAAACTCCGGCAGCAGCCTCCTCACACGCCTCCACGCGCCACCAGAAGCTCACGCGCCGGCGCGTACGACCACTTTCGGCCATTTTTTTGAAAATCTTCCTTCAGAACAGTTGGGTCGCCTGGTAATTCCGATACTACTCCTACTGTTTTCATTTCATTCCGACAACTTTGAGTTTTTTCCGACAGCTACTTAGCTTTAATGGGAGGTTCAAACTACTTAGCTTGGGCTTCATCTGTCGAGTTATGGTGTAGAGGTCAAGGTGTTCAAGATCATCTAATCAAACAGTCTAGCGATGGAGATGAAAAGGCAATAGCACTTTGGGCAAAAATCGATGCTCAGTTATGTAGCATCTTGTGGCGATCTATTGATTCCAAGTTGATGCCCTTGTTTCGTCCATTCCAGACATGTTATTTGGTTTGGGCAAANTCACGCACCTTATACACTAATGACATATCTCGCTGCTATGATGTGATATCACGGATGACAAACCTAAAGAAGCAGGAATTGGATATGTCTACTTACTTGGGTCAAGTACAGGCAGTCATGGAGGAAT